AGGGAGTGACTGAGAGGCATCAATTCATTCCCAATGGAAACACGAACACTGGAACAAAAGCTTCTACATACTAGATGGCACTAGCCGGCTAGATCAAAGGATCTTACGTTATCCTGATGAGAGCCGGAAAGCTAGGCTGCTAGGGTCAGAAGGGACCTGAACAGACCATCGAGTCCGACCGCCTGCTTAGGCAGGACAGAGTGCTGGGGCCAGATGCCCCCAGGCAGGCGCCTGTCCAGCCTTCTCTCAAAGACCCCCAAGGCAGGGGAGAGCACCACCTCCCTTGGAAGCCCCGTCCAGGCTCTGGCCACCCTAAATCTGTCAGTTTGTGACCATTGTTCCTTGTTACCCCAAGAGGTGCCCTGGTGAATGGAGCATCTCCGGTTCCTAGGTGTGTGTAGGTGACCACAAGAACTCCTCTCAGCCTTCTCTTGTGGAAAAATGTGTGTCAGAAGTGGGATTTGAACCCACGCCTCCATACAGAGACCAGAACACTCACTGGCACAGGAAGGCAGCTATGTCTTGAGTCTGGCGCCTTAGACCGCTCGGCCATCCTGACACCACAAGAGCATCTTCCCCATGGGACCTAATAGGACAAGGACTATATGCTGGGAAGTGGGGGGCTCTAAAAGCAGGAAACAGAGGACTAATTTACATTGCCAGCACATATTTTACCTCAAGCACCCAAAGCAAAGTGCACAAGCAGGAATAGTTAATACTCCAGGAAAGTTACAATTGTGTTGCAAGCATCCACAAGCTCAAATACACACTCACTTCAACAGCTCACTGCATTGTTGCAGGCTCTTCACAAACTATTAGGAGTGCAGGTGACAGACTGCATTTCTTAACTAGTGGTGTTGCAGCCATGATGGTTCAGGTAATATAGAAGAAGCTAATAACTTTTATTGGACCCACTGTATAGTCGGGAATGCTGTTCAGCAAATGTTGGCATTTTGTGCCCAAAAGCTCATCTAACATCTGTCCTGGCTGTGTAGCTGGTCCAACAAATGATCTTATCAATCAGATCCTGTATTTGTCAAGCAAATTATTTTTTGATGACTAGCTGATCTAGTTTAGATTATTTTCATTATTTTAAATGAGATCCAGGCCCTAATGTTCTGTGTGCTATGATAGAACAAGCAGCAATGGTCTCAAGTTGCACCAAGGGAAGTTTAAGTTAGATATGAGGAATAACTTTCTCACTCGGAGGGTAGTAAAGCGCTGGAACAGGCTACCCTGAAAGGTGGTGGAGTCTCCATCCTTGGAGGTTTGTAAGACCCGGCTAGACAAAGCCTTGGCTGGGATGATCTAGTTGGGGATGGTCCTGCTTTGAGCAGGGGATTGGAGATCTCCTGAGGTCCCTTCTGACACTCATTTTCTATGATTCTGTGTGTTAGACAAACACACAGCAGAGGACATTTACTTCCCAAGAAGCTGAGTCTATGCGCTTCCTGGAAACTTTACATTACCAATGAAATCATCTCACTGAAACCCCTGAGACATTTTCATTCTCATTTTTTATTCCCATTCAAGCAGGCTGATCCTCATATTGCAAAAAATAAAGGAAACCCTTTGTTAAGAGAGGGCCATTTTACTGATAGCACAATCCTTCAGGGAGTTGACTGTATAACTACCCAGAAAAATTCCTTTGGTCTTGTAACTTTGGTCTCATGAGGCAGAGTGTAATAGAAAATAAAAGCCAGGAAAATGCCGTAGCAAGACTCAAACTACAGCTTTTCAGTCCTTCTAATCTCTGGTCCATAGATACCAGCTATAAGGACAGGCATCTTAGAAGTATCTCAGAGAGATATAGATACACTGGGCACAGGACAACCAAGACAGCCCTACAGCAAAGGGTTTATATTATTACTATTATTATTGACTATTATCATCCGCATATACTTAAAGAGCACCCCAGATATTCTAAAACTGAAATTCCCTGCTGTGCCAAATTTTTACAGTGTCTGGGTTTTGTCAGAAAGCTGACTCCCAGATCTTCAAGGAAGATCTACACTCTTCTGGCCCAGGTTAGAAGAGCCATGGAGCAGTCTCAATTTTGCTAGGTCGCCATGGTTCCTAAAAGTCCTATCTGTGACCTGAGCATAGTCAAAGCACTGCACGCCCTTGCCCTAACGTGCCCTCTATGGCTGAGTGTGGAGGTTCGGCGATTACTCAGGTCAGCTGTGCACCAGTGAAGTCTTTTATGCCTGGGGAATTCCACACTGGCCAGCCCAAGCTGTTCTCCACCTCAAAGCAGTGCACCGGGACAGAAATACAAATGAGAATCTGGTCTGGTGCATTTATTTTATAGCATTGCCCCATTATTGTTAAGGTCTCCTGCTCACTGTGAACATGGACAACTAAAGCATGTGAAGTGAGTCAAGCAAATGAGCATCAAGAACAGCCCATTTGCGGCCTTTCAGCTATATTTGAAAAGACATCTGCTGCTTTTAAATGTCATTAAGCCTCTTTAACTTCTCCCTGGCCAGCTGAGTTGCAGTGCAGGAACAGGAAGAGATTGGTGTATGTGAGCCCAAGGGTTTAGGGAGGCTAGTGCAGTGAAATCACTTAAACCACTGAACTCACTGAAGCTCGATGCACAACAGATGAAAAAATGAGAGGGGCCACAGGCACAGCTGAAGGAAAGGATGCACACTGAGAACTGAGACTCACACTGTGCAACGGCTTTCATATTCCCAACTGAAATGCGGCCTGCAGCCTGGTCACGGATCGTTTTTTCACTTACCCGGTGAGGTGGGGAGACATGCCCTGATGGCTCCAAGCACCCAGCACATGCTGGGTGTAACCGGCTCCACGGCCAGTGTCAGTTGGGGAGTTTGGGGTGGTACACCTAACAAACCATAATGCAGGTGTCCTAAGTTGAGCTCAGGAATGACAGAAACCTCCCAGGGGGCAAAAACTCGCTTGACCTTGATTTTCAGTATGATGACAGACCCTGAAAGCAGGACCTCATGATCCTTCTGACTTTTTGGGTTTTAAGCAGGAGGTGGCAGAAAAGTTACCACAGGGATAACTGGCTTGTGGCAGCCAAGCATTCATAGAGATGTCACTTTTTGATCCTTCAATGTCAGCTCTTCCCATCATTGTGACGCAGAATTTACCAAGGACTGGATTATTCACCCACTGATAGGGAACATAAGCTAGGGTTAGCCCATCACGAGACAAGTGAGCTTTACCCTACTGATGATGTGTAGTTGCAATAGTAATCCTGTTCAGTTGAGAGGAACCGCAGGTTGAGTTATCTGTTGTATGTGCTCGGCTGAGGAGCCAATGGGCGAAGCTACCATCTGCTGGAGTTACAATCCGGCATGCCAGCAGAACTGGGGCAGTGGGGGTCAAAAAGCAAAATCAGTACACTATGATTGGTCCACACAGTCTGCTCTTGCTTGCAAAAGAGAGTGACCAGGCAGCCAGGTTGCTAAATCCACTCCATAAGGGAAAAAACAGGGATTCTTCCCTGCTTCTACAAAGACTATATGAACTGCCAGGCTTGGAAAGAAGGCCCTTCAGCAGAGACTCATTAAGAGGCAGCTCTCAGGGGTCCAGACTCCATCTCAAACACAGGTGTGACATATAAGGCCAGATTCTTTTTTTTTTTCCCCCATCAAATACTGATGGGGAGGTTTAGTAAAGCAAGTCCATAGCTAGCGCCTGTGCAGGATCACTGCACGCAGCACGTTTGCTAGTGCTCTGTCCAGTCTGGCTCTAGGCGTTCCAGGCGGCAGGGTCTCCATTGCCACCTGCGGGAGATCGCTCCACAGTCAGGAAGCGGCTCAGAGTTTCCTTCATTTGTCACAGTTATACTATCTCAACTTCCTGCTAAGCGTTTACACTTTCAAATATTTTCAGATGACAATTATATCCCTCCAGTAAACACTGATTAGTTGGTGTTTAGCCAAACTATACATATTTGCTATAGGATTTTTCACTCTTCCTGGTCCCTTACAGACTGATTCCTGTCGCTCTTCTCTCAGCTCCAGCAGGTTAGTGTGTTTCTAATAACTGCAGTGCCCAGAACTGAAAGGTTTATGAGGTTCAGTTTTCCCACTCCAGGAGATATTGAACTTTTCTAATATCCATTACAATATGTGATTGTTTAAAGCCACATAAAAATGTCACTGCTTTCTTTTGTAGGCTATAAAACAGAGACAGAGTCCAGAGCCTGTAAAATATGAAAGTGCTACTTTGACAAATTCGCAAAGAATGAAGAAGTCCCTCTGGGTTTTGGACAGCTCATCTCACACTTGTTAGCTGTGTCATCCCTACAAAGTTATTAATTCTGCACCATTTGTTCTATACTTATTAACCCGAACTCAAGATGAACGATGACATTTGGTTGTCCTCAGGTAGCCTGGGTGTCCACCAGACGGCACTATTGTCACCTCCAGAGGTTCTCCTTTGCCAAGCATTAGGACTTCTTCCTAAAGTAGCAGACCTCTGGCAGAAACTTTGGTAATCTGACGTTTTGGTCTAGATTTGAAGGATGCCAGTTATGCCACTCCCTGCATCCACAAACAGCACAGAGCTCTGTCACATACTTAATCAGAAGTGCTATGTGACTAGACAATAATAATCTCTTCTAATGCTAGGTCCCATGCACCACTAAATGTGGGTTTTGCTCACAGGCATGTCAATGGTTAGAAATCATGATCTGTAGGATGCTACAACAACATAAATGAAAACATGGAAGCTTGTTCCACTACAAGGATTAAAGACATATATTTGTGTTATAAGTCCAGAGCATGGCTTTCATTGAACTTTTTAGTATACTGCCACTGATGAAATCTTCTGTGGTAACAAGAGAACCGTGCTCGGTAGACAGTCTTGACATTTCCGAAACCCTGCAACCAGCCTGGAGATCCATCAGTTCAGGACTCCACAATGCTGCAGCGCAATCTGTCCGCCCCTTGTGACCAACCTTATTTTCAGTTCATGGAGAAGCCCACGCTACAAGCCAGCCTATTCTACCCAATCTTGGTTCAGAACTGGAGAATCTTCTTCCTTCTTGGTTGCTTTATGGGTTTGGGATGTTTTCCAGCAAAGCATGAGAGCCAGGTATACATCAGCATAGTCATCGCTGCCCCACCTCCTGTGCAGTAATGTGCCCTGCCAAGCTTGCAGGTTCTCATGGAGGAAGAAAGAAGAGGACAGTGAAGAACCAGGGATGTGCTAGTGTGCAGTCACTCAGTCAGAAAGCAGTCCTGCATTGTGTTTGTGCCTCCTTGGCCTAGTGAGGAAAAGAAAACAGCTACAGCCTGGCACACTGAGAACACCACCAGCTACAAACACTGTCTTGACTTCTGAGGTCCTTCACAGCCTACTCCCATCCTACCAGTCATTCCTCACACCCTCTGGGGATGTCAATGCTGCCGGTGAGGCCAGTCTTCTTCAGCCGCTCATGATATTTCCAAACAAGCCCCTTCATGCCTTCTCCCATGCTGCCCCTCTTTTGAGGGAAGAGGTCCACATAAGCACCTACAAAGCTACAACATTATCCCCTTCCTTAAAGCCCTCCTTACAACACTCCCCTGCCACAAAACCCACAAAATTCCCAAATGCTCTTTCTGCAATAGCATCTCATGGTCTTTGCCCCACCTCAGTAGGTGCCGTATACACACAGGATAGAGAAATGGTTTGTTCTGCCAAATATTTTACAAACCCAAGCAGATATAAGTGCAGTTATACCAGAGGAAAGCTGGCACAATGCATTGGAGACTCTCATTTCATTGTTTTGACACAGTTATATTGTGTTGTTAAAGCTTTCCTATTTACCCTTGAATTATATCTGCTGCAGAGCCAAGCACAGGTTTTCCAGAGGAAACTAGCATCTGGTTGCCTTGAACTGGTGAGGCAATGCAGGCAAAAATCACACAATGGCATCTGGTCTTCTGAGAGAGTACAATGCGCTGCAGGGAAATCCGTACAGCTGCCAGGAAGAGAACATGGCCTGTCACTGCAGCCAGTGGAGGCCTAGGAGCTAGCTGCCTTCTCTTCTAAACTCCTCGTGGCAGCTTGGATTCCACTATTTGGACTGATGCATGGAGCTCCCATTGATTGCTGCATGAGTGGAGAGGAATAGCAGATGCAAGATGTGGACTAGAGTTGAGAATTTTGCCATGAAAGGACAGCAAGTAAACTAAGGCTGGAGATAAACCTGCTGGTAGAGGTGTTCTACGTCTACGTTGCAGGAAGCAGAGAGACTATAAGGACACCGATAACGTCTCCATACCTAGAACCTCTGCTTCTGTGTAAGGGAAAAGATGCTCATAATCCAATCCCCAATGTTATTTCATACTGAGTTTTAACAGAAACTCAGATCCCAAACAGCCGTGAGGTAAAATTAAGTTGTATAGTTTGACAAGCATAGTCAGTGAAATAATTTTCCAGTTAAGGGAGTTACAGCATATCTCATACCTTCAAGACAAGCATGTATAGGACAAGATTAGCCTGGGGTTCGGTGCTTGCTGAGGCAGGCAAAGTGATGCCTGTAGCTCTGTCTAAGATGCTGTGTGTCCAGACTACCGGAGATGCACCATCTGGTGGTTTAGAACAATTATATTCTTCAGTCTACCTCTGGATAGCAGTTTATTACCAAATATCATGCAGTACATACTTATTCATTCATAGCAAACCATTGCCCTTGCTTATGGCACTGTAAACTTCCACAGGAGGAAGAGGTTTGATACCAGTGCTACTCGTTGTCTGCATTACCCAGAAATACCCTGTACTATTTGCTGTAATTACAAGGTAATTCTATTAGAAGTAACGTGACCTATCTGCTTTAATTCAGATATCTGCATTAACTCGGATACTTTACATATATTTTGTGATGAGAATAAGTCATAGGGAAGTAGGGCTAGAAGGGACCTCACAAGGTCATCTAGTCCAAACCCTTGACTAAATCATCCCAGCCAGGTGTCGGTCTAACCTGCTCTTGAAAACTTCCAAGGACGGAGAGTCTATGTTTTCTCTAAGTAGCCCGTTCTAATGCTTGACCACCCTCATAGACAGAAATTCCTCCTAATCTCTGACCTAAATTTCCTCTGCTGCAGCTTGAGGCCATTACCCTGCAGTGCTGGTCCCTGCTTGATATTAGCAGCCCAGAAAGTAATGTCTAAAGTCAATGAGTCACTACCGTGGCCCCGATTTACAACCAAGATGACACAAAATGCATTGGGATACTTGATCCCAGAACCTAATCGCAGAGCAATGAATAGCTCTCATTTCAAGAAGCCCTTTTTCAGTCATGGGCACTGCAGGTAGCAATAGGGCTTGAAAAGCACATTTATAATGGTCAAAGCAAGCACATAATGTCCTAGCTCAAGGGTGGTATCTCACCCAGTATAGGAATGAGGTAAAGACATAGCTCTGATCTGGGCTCTTCGTTAAAGTCTGTTGCGTTGGATTAGTTTTCCTCTCATCAGTGTGAAAGCTTTGGGGCAGACACTGTAAAACTGGCAAAGGATCCCCCCAAAGGAAAATGTGAAACAAATGATCAATCTGAAAGTAAAAGACTCCAGCAGCAAAAATGCAGAGCATGAGCCACATTTCAAACCCTTCAGAGTTTGATTGAAATTGCATTGGGGCGGTGGGGGACGGAGGGAGTTGGATTGCGCTGATCTCTAATTTAAAGACATCTGCTAGAGGCAACCCCTCCCTCCCCCTGTTTTCTCTCTTTGGTTTAGCAGAGACCCAGACCATAAAGCAAGCAAATGGACAAGCACCTAGTCCCAAAAAGCATCTTTTCTGAAGTGCTGCCTTCTGCTTGTGGATTGGTCTTATTATGAGCAGTATTGTGCAGCGAGCTGTAGTTGGTCATATCAATCTGAAGTCAGGTAGAAGCATCCACCAAGCCCTGTGCTGTCATACACCCTCCACCGCCTGCCCAAAATATCTCACTGCAAAGTACAACCATACGAACACTGATAAAAGACTTCTAAACTCAGTCCTAGCAAACATCCATTTTCATGTTTCCAAGGACAGATATGCAGGTCTTCCTGGGATTGTATGGGTAATCTGCCCTGATGACGGACAATGCTGGTCTCTGCTGGAAATCAGCAGGCATTAAGGAGATGTCAGCCAGCTAAGCTGGATTCTGTCATTGGCAAACGCAGCCCCATAAATACCTTGTACATTTTTACTATCCTCCGAGCGAGGCAAGTAATGTGTACTTTGATGTTATCTGCACTGTCGTGCCAACAGCCAGATTTGTCTGGTTTAATCGTTTAGCACAGGCCCGTTCCAGTGGAGTGTGTTGCTCCATGCGTCCTCTTTGTTTAACTAAATACTACATCCACTCTTGTTATTCTGCTTGGCTGTTTATTTCATTTATTCATTTCTCTGCCTTGTTTACCCTGCTTGGATAAAGGCCCGAGGAAAATTTTCTATCCAGGATGACTCCAGTATCTGTGCTTACTTAAATGTATTACAGCAACCACAGGATTATCTGTCTAAATTTCCCTTTCTATGGGCCTAGTCATCCTGCTTGGCATAAGGAAGTGCACAAAACAATGCTGCTCTATATAGTGAGGACCCAGAGCCCTCTCAATGCCATCTGAGGGGGGCCAGGAGCAAGCGTGGTCTAGGTTCATGCTGACCTAGAAAAGGAGACAGCAGCCTGCCAAGTGTGGTGAATGCTGATCGTGATTTGATAATCCAGATGCCTTAGTCTGAGCAAGAGAAGCAAAGATGGGTAAAACAGACAAAAGCTGCTGTGATTAGCCATTCAAGTTTCCCAGAAGGGAACACAAGGGCTATAGATTAAAGGTCAGCAATAATCTTGATTAGCTCTGGACAAACAGGGCAAAACATTGTCCACAAATATCCTTTTGCACGTTGAACTGTTTTGTTTGGAAGGGTCTCCACTTCCCCTGGACCACACCAGTGGGTAAGTATTTCAGCAGGAATAGTCATGGCAGTGGCAATTTTTAAACAAGCGTTACAAAACATTGAGGAAAAGCACATTCCACCCTCAGGATCACAGGAACTCACACAGGAAACATGCTCCAAAGGATCATGTTTTCATCCAGGGATCAAAATCGGCCATATGACCCACTATGCATGTCCAATGCAAATAGCTCAAATACACCCATCAGCAACTCGCAAAGAGAGAAGATGACAGGTTGCAAATTATGTTCTCAATTGTAATTGAGCTCCAGTCACATGAGGCATGAGAGTGTCCTAATATTGTACAGACCAAGTGCCAAAGGGGCTTTCAGAGCTCATATGCGATTGTACAACATTGGCCTGACTGCTCTGGCCTCAGGGCAGCAGGTGTCTCCAAAGGGTGTAGCGTTCAAATTGGCACAATATTCCCTCGAAGAAGCTACACAGTATACACAACCAACCCAGCCTTCATCTCAGTGTGCCATGCCCCCAGTCCATTGCATTTGGATGTGCACATGTTACCATAATTGCATATTAATCTCACTGATAATGAAACAGTCCTTCCTGTACCTCCAGTAAAAAAAGACAAGATAATCCTCATTCCCCCAGAGACTGCAAACACCATGACATCGGGCATCATTAGCAGGTTGAATCTGCTGCAGCCAGCTGTAACCTGCAGACTGTAAGCATTTTTGTGACACTGCCTTGTTGTGGGGAAACATAGACAGGATTTTCCACTCCTTTCTGCCAGACCTCCACAACATGCCACCTCCATGTCCTAGCCCTAGAGCTACATACCCCTTCACTGCTTGCAACAGGAGTACAAGAAGGAAACAAGGTATGTGCATCTCATGTTCTCCTCACTCTCTGTCCTGAACTATTGTAACCTACTGGAAAGGAAATTAAAAAAAAAAACTTGCAGGGAAAAAAGAAAAGGTTTCCACAACAGATTAGCTTTTAAGAGAAGTCAGGAAGGGGTAGAAAGCTCATTGTGTTCCTCTTTGGTATGTATCATTGCTAACGGGCTCTCACTGAGTCACTCCATTCAAGTGTTGAGGTTTGCTGTGACAGGATCACTCATAAAAGTTATTAAATCTTCACTCAGAGATGGGGCTGACATTTCAATCAGACTCTGCTTTTATTCCAAGTTGCAAATCTTATTCTGTGGCTTTAGTTCCTTAGATTCATCAGTAAATTAGATTACTTTGTTAATATTAAAAGAACTAAGCAACTGACTA